ACCTGTATTTTATGACACTGCATGATGAACAGTTTTGCGTGAGATGCTCTTGTCTGTCAGCTTGGTAGCTTGTTACTCACTATAGTGTTATTTTTGAGTTATTCATGAAAGCAACACCAAGGGAAACGGTAATACTACAAAATGTAGGATATGGGTTTCGCATTTTCTGGAGAAACACTTGAAATTACTTTAATTATATTTTTTAGGTAAAAAGCCATTAGTTGTGAACGTTCAGACTGTAATCAAATCAAAATCATATATTGATCACACCGAGCTGATGACTCCAAAATCAGCCCATCATATTGCAGCATAGTGTATGTACTAGGGATGTGCATCTCCATCACTGAGGCCGATACGATGCGCATCTCGATACGCTGCCAACGATACGATACATTAACGATACCTTTGAAACACCAGGCGATGCGATACGATTCACCCCTGTTGCGATACAGTTCGATACGATTTGATTCAACATTATGCGATTCGGGGCGATACGATGCGATTCAACACGATGCAAAATAATGATACAATTCAATATGCTACGACAGAGGATTTTTGTTTTATTCCTCATATGCAACAAATCATAAATTAACAAAAAAGTGATTTACATATTTGGTTCTCTCTACTAGTAGGCTACTGCACATCCCATATTGCGGTTTCTTTTTTACCTTAAACAAAACAAACACTTGGACCTTTCACAAACTGGCCTTTTCACAAGTGTAGTAGTGTTCTCTGTCTCCAGAGTAAAGTACAATTGTATAACACCTCACAGTTAAACAATTTAAGGATGCATTGCCTATGATTAACAATGTGCAAATAACAGCTACCATAGTGCAATGCCCATACAGCTGCCAGCCTGATGTGCTGAACACTCATTCATAGGCTAACTCACCAGTGAGTAAAAAGCAGTGGGTTCTATATGAACAATACAAAATACAAAGAACCTTTCACAAACAGGTATTTCATAACTCCTTACAGTAATGAGGACATTTAAACTATTATTGGCCGTCACAGGCTGCTGTAAACTAAACACCACTCTCTCTGACAGAACACCTCACTGAGTGATTTAACTCATATGTCTAACTTTCAGGTTTCTCTTTTCAGCCGCAGACCCCATGTCGCCTCTTTATGTACGTCGCTAAGTTCCTCGTACTACTTGTGTACTTTAAAGCGGCTCGGCATCGTTAACAATTTGCGAGCGATTTTTCAAGTTGACCGTCTTTCTTGAAAAATCCGATGTGTTGCCAAACGTTTGATTTGTAGGTATTTTTCGGTGCGCTGTGTTTCTCTTTCTCCTCGACTTCATGTGTGTTGATAACTGAGACTCTCGGCCTCCGTAGTGCGAAGCAAAGATCAAAGATCGTCTCTGCGGAGAGCTGACAGGATGAGGGGATATTATATGAATGAATCGTTTTTTTACCGATGCAAAGACGCTACAATCGATGCATCGCGAGTTCAACCCAAACTGTAGCCGATGTGCACTCTTTCAACCGGTGCACTCGCATCTTGAACGTTTATGCCGGTGCACCGATGCGAATCTTAACATCCCTAGTATGTACTGATGTGCTGCAAGCTGTATGTTAACCTTGCTTCCAGGATAGCATTAACTTATTTGTGCACTGCTCTCACAGCGGCACTCAGGCTCTCTGCAGCATTATGTAATCCCGACCTTCCACTTCCCTCTTCGTAGCCACAGTGGTTTTTGGCAGACGTGTGCGTCTTCGCATGAGGGGGTGTTGATTCTCAACCTGTGGTTCCAGCTCGGGTGACAACAGTTTTTGAGGGGGTTAAGTGGTTAGGAGATCCTTGTTTCAGTCTGATGTCTCAATGGAGATATTTCCCAGTGTATTTTTACCAGCAGTGTAATAAAACAATTGTCAGACAGAGGAATCTCATAGTATCTGCATGTGTTTTTGCAGTCTGCATGTCTCCTTTCAGGGTCTGGCTGCTGCGATTGCTTTAATGGATGGATGTTGCAACTCCCCTTTCCTCTCTCTACCAGGCGGCTGTGTGTGTGTGTGTTTCTTTTAGAGCGAGTGAGGGAGAGACATAGAGAGGGGGATGTCGCTGAATGAAGCTTAGCCTGGATGTTTGCCCTGCAGGGTGGGTGGTTGCTAGGCAATGGCAGTGTGTTTGTTTTATTTTTAGAGAGAATCACTGCTGGTGAACATAACAGATTTCTCTTTCTATCACACACGTATGTGAAGGCACTTTCTTACCATACATGAACATATAGGTAATTGTGAGTGGCAGAAGCTAGTGCTGAGAGCTTGATCGAGGGAATCCTGTTCATTTAATCCTATAGCAGAACGGCAGGAAAAATGTGAATGGCGTGGCCCGATGCCCCACCCTGGACATGAAATCTAAACCGGCCTGGCATATTTATAGAGTGCCTTTTTCTCGCACCTAGCCTATGACACTGCACACATGCGCAGAACACACATTACACACATAGGTTCCTCCTAAACCAGCTGAAGTCACTCCTTGCATGTACCAGCCTTTTTTGGGCACATGCCTGTCATGCCGTGTGTGCACTCGTGGGAGGTAATGCAGGGAGAGAAATCAATATGTTGAAAAAAAAGACATGCTCAGAGCACTTTCAATATATATTTTTTGCTTTATATTGATTTCGAGATCTCATGAGCTCTAAACCAGCCAACCAATACATACTGTAAGTAGCTTTCAGAAGCAGTTGATGACATTTAGGTCAGAATTGATTGGTATTATGGGAAAATATAGTGCAGGTCATAAAATGCCAAAGATATGGTGGGGTAGGGCTGTGCATGAGGTTAAGGCTGCTAGGGTCTTCAGGTACAGTTGTTAGTAACAGTAGACAAACAACACATTTCTGACCCAATGAATGAAGTACTACTAACATAAAAAACTGTAAACGTTGCAATTTTAGGGGCCTTTTCATTTTCGTATACAAGAAAAAGCTCTTCAGTCAGGCAATTGAAGGCTGATACAGATTAGTTATCTACATTGAAAATATGTTCCTCAGTCAAAAGCCTCTGCCTCATTTGAACAGTTACCTGTGTCTAACTGGGTAGATCAAAATATGAATACATATTCTATATTTAACTAACTTCAGTAGCAATTCATTCAAGCTCTGTTAGCTTGTAGCTTGCAACAAAACAGTGCAGGAGACTGTGTTGGTCAATAAATTAAATTCAAGTGCTCCTTCCTGGTGCACTCTTATCTTTCGGTGTCTGATAAGCCTTCAAACTCATTGGTGTGCCACTCAAACTGGACTTCCTGGAATGCATTTGATTGTTGACGAACAAAAACATAGACAGATGAGTTCCCATTCAGCTCTGCAGGTGAACACCTTGCTGATTCAGTAATGTGAGGTCCTGTCAACAAATCAATGATACTAATAGTATTAGTTACCTTGTGCTCAGAGTAAAAGAGGTTATGTGTGCTCACAGAAGCTTTACTGCTGCAGTGTAATCCTCAGCTCTGTGGTTCCTCCTTGCTATCTTTGCCCCCCATTTACACAGGTACGTTTGCGTTTACGCACCATATTCGTTTTCAAAAAAGTCTTCCGTTCACACGCATTCGGCTAATTTAACGTGTCCGTTCACACGAGACCACTGGAAACGCTGTAGTACATATGCCGGCCCTGTAAGTGGCGCTGTACTTCCGCACGAGACCGCTCGAAAGCGCTGGAGATGCTGTAGTATATATGCCGGGCCTGTAAGTGGCGTAGTAACTTCCGCCACAAAATACACCAAAAGCAGCGAAGAAGACCCGAGCATGGTTGCCATGGTTGCCCTTCTGTTTATGACCCGCGGTGGATTTAGCAACATGTAGTTCATGTAGTTCTCCATGTCCACTTGTTGCTGATGGTTGTGGTCGAGGAGCTGTAGATTTTGCACTAACATCTGTAGCATGGTCAGTAGCTACTGACCATGCTACAGCAATGAGCAGCAGAGGTGGGGAGTGGTGGGGCTATGGCTTCATCGTTACCAGGAAATGATCGTACACACTGAGCCGTTGGCCCCCCCAGAGGGTTCCAGTTGCAGATCTATCCACCTTAGTTGGGACCCATTATCGTTTGCGGGGTCCGTTTCCGCGGTTCCGTTACGGCCTCGTGTGAACGAACGGGCTATACGCGAGAGAAAAGTAGCAGATACAACCCGTTTCGTTCTTGTGTAAACAGCACCTTTGTCTTGTTGTTGGGCTCTCACCATCCCTTGAGTAATTAAAAGCACTCTGTAATCACAGAAGAAAGGAACCTACTGAATTACTGACACTAAAAACTGCTGATTTGCAGAGGGATTTATATGATAAATACAATTTATGATATGATCTCTACTGGCATCTTAAACATGAAATAAAAATGACTTGTAATATAATTATGTGAGAAAATAATCTGGATTTAGTCTTGACTATTTACTATTTCGACTTTTGTAAATCATAAACACATACAATATCAACTACAGTTATGGTAATGCTTTCTTCCCTTTTGGATTTTTCCCCCTTATATTTACAGTCAAAATAAAGTTAAACATTAACTAACACATTTTTTAAATGAAGTTAAGAATTGATATTGCCTACACCTACACCAATTATAGCTTCGACCAATACTGATTTTTAAAAACATTTTCACGCTTATTTCACTCGCGTAACGCATGCTAAAATCAAACACTGGTGCAGCCATATTCTGAGGCTGTTTGGTTCAGTGTAAATAAATAAAAGACAGCATAATGATCGATCTCCCTGACTGGAGTATTACAGATTTTGTGTAAAATATGTTACTGTAATGGTATCACTTTCTAAATGACTTCAAACCTAGATGAGTTTTTCTGGACTGCAACATAAACACCAATATCTAATATTATAATATTGAGCCATTTATTGGTCTACCTCTATTACTAACTCTGTATAAAGTGAGTAAATGTATGCTACAGTAGTGCAATGAAAGTATCTTCTTTGTCCTAACTAGTGATGGTGTAATCTTAATCCTGTATAAACCCTTCGTTTCCCTTTGTTAATAGCTATAGGCAGCAATGGGTGCATTCCTGGACAAGCCGAAGACGGAAAAGCATACTGCCCACGGTGATGGCAATGGGCTGCGCTACGGCCTGAGCTCCATGCAGGGCTGGCGGGTGGAGATGGAGGATGCCCACACAGCGGCGGTCGGCCTCCCCCATGGACTCACCGACTGGTCCTTCTTTGCTGTCTACGATGGCCACGCAGGCTCCCGGGTGGCCAACTACTGCTCCGGCCACTTGCTGGAACACATCTTGTCAGGAGGGGCCGAGTTCAGTTCAGGATCCGGCTCCGTGGATGGCGTGAAAGACGGCATCCGCTTGGGCTTCCTGAACATTGACGAGTACATGCGCAGCTTCTCCGACTTGCGGCAGGGCCTGGACCGCAGCGGATCAACGGCTGTGTGCGTGTTGCTCAGCCCGACCCACCTCTACTTCATTAACTGCGGCGACTCGCGGGCCGTGCTGAGTCGAGAAACCAAGGTGGGCTTCTCCACCCAGGACCACAAGCCCTGCAACCCCCGTGAAAAGGAGCGCATCCAGAACGCTGGCGGCTCAGTCATGATCCAGAGGGTAAACGGCTCCCTGGCTGTGTCCCGGGCCCTGGGGGACTACGACTACAAATGTGTGGATGGTAAGGGCCCCACGGAGCAGCTGGTGAGCCCCGAGCCCGAGGTGTACGTGTTGGAGCGGGCGGCCGAAGGAGACGAGTTTGTGGTGCTTGCGTGTGATGGAATCTGGGATGTCATGTCCAACGAGGAGCTGTGTGAGTTTGTGCGCTCTCGACTCCTGGTGTGCGATGACCTGGAGAAGGTCTGTAACTCGGTGGTGGACACCTGTCTGCACAAGGTAAGCTTTTATTCCTCATTATTTATTTATTCTATCTATGTACATTGTGGGTGAAGTAAGTGTATACAATGTTACATGCTTTTCAGCTTAGTCTTTAAGCTAAGAGCTATTGAACATAACTTAGATTGAAATGCCAATATTAAGTTGGATAGTTGAAATCCAGTGTGTGTATGGGAGTCGGGACAGAGGGTTCCCTAATAAAAGCAAAGCGTACAGTGTAGCAAAGGCTCCAATGACAGGCAGGTGCTTTGGTGAAGGTCAATAAGGGAAGATAGATTTATCTGAATTAATTGATTAATTATAGCCATTTGCAGTAATATAGAAAAAAGTGTCATGATGAGGTTGTAGTTTTATTTTAATTCTGTTTCAGATACCTCTTCTGCATATTAAATGCGTTCATCATCAGTTTTGCCTCCTATTCTTAGGATTTTGAAAAGAACAAAATAACTAAACATATATTTTCAAAATACAAATTAATATACTGGAATACATTTTGAAAACCTGCATCAGAAGATAACAAAATGGGCTAATGTTCTCTCTCAGAGAGAGATCATAAACATCTGATTATTAATAATGTATTATTGCTTTCAATTCAGTCCCTCCCTGTTGGCTTTCTTAGCTATCGATCCAAACAAAAGCACAAATTGCTTTTTTTACTCAGCTGAGCTCATGCAGCACTCCACATCTTGGACTTTGCCTTCCGAGTGTCACCTATTTTGTGTCTCGAGTACTCCAAGAACCAACAAGTGCACAGCAGCCTAGTTATTTTTACTTTACTGGATGGGTAATCTCAAGTAACAGCCACGGCACACGCTGTCATAAATCTCCTCTGCTGCCACTGCCTTTTGTGATGTGTGTGACACATACTGTAAGCTACTCTGACCACATCGACTTTTACAAGGCAATCACAAGGTACTGTGCAAGAACTCTATCTTGTCACTAACTGTTTGTGTCATATAAATGACAATTAATATGTTGTTAATTGTTCAGGAAATTGCCACCAGCCATAGGCCGAGCTTTGCTTTTTCTATAATATGTTTCCATTTAAATAAATTCCATAACATTTAGAGATTTTAATGGCCATAGTGTTGTCACAACTTTGGCCATTTCACTTCAATACTGTGCTCAAACATTTTTGACATCCCAAACCATTTATTAATACTCAGGGGAAGAATTATGAGCGGACTAGTAACAGATATTTGAATATAAATGCTTTCACCACCCCTAATGTTCTGTACTGGACACATTACTCTGTAGATATAAAAACATCATGTCTAAACTTCTTTCAGCAGGATGTTTACACTATTAGTTTTTGTCTTCTCCTGTTTCTATGAGTAACGACACTACTGGCTTGTTGCCTAGCATTTATTTTGACAGGGAAAGCCCTGACTGAGTTAAAACAAAACAAAAGGAAGAAAAATTAGGAACATTGGGACTGCCCAGTTGACTTTAACGGTTATATGCAGGGGTGCACATCACTTTTTTGCCCTGGTTCTCAAAGGAGCACCTGGAGATGTTGCTTGGTGCTCATCCTTAAAATGAAATAAACCGTAACTTTTGAGGGGGTCTGGACTTTATTTGCCAGACACACGGCACTGAACACACATGCAGAGGTGAACACAGAACACACATGCAGAGGTGAACACAACACAAGACAACATTAGCACGACCAGTCACAAGCTGTCATCACTACCCTCCTGACTGTTCTCCTCACTGTCTTCCTCTCTGTCAGACATGGTAGCTGATGATGTAGGCCTACTACTTTCTCTCTGGTTGAGTCTGTGATTAGCTGCTTGTCGAAAGTCTCTGTTGTCATCTTAGAAAAGTGGATGTAATCAAATAAGTATGTGAACATAACCAATAGCCTACCATAGCCAATAACAAATTAATGTAACTTATTTTATTTGTGTTGTTCATTCATATCTTATTTTACCTTAACATTTATTTATTTATGCATTTTTTTTTTATCTCGTTTTAAAGGATATTTTTGGTTACTGTCCTATAGTATACATTGGAATGATTTCAAACCTGTTTATCCCAATAATTACAAAAGAGTGCCTTGGAAATATGTGTTTACATAAATTGTGACCAAACCGTTTGAATTTAGACTAAGAGTCCTTTACCTCACTGAGCTGTAGTTAACTTATCAGCCTCTCAGTCTGACTGGAGAGGACTCTCCCTCCACATTATTGTAGAAACATCTTCTTCTTATCTCCGTTAGAGCAGCTAGCACGGCACCAGATTATAATAATAACAGCGCTGGTACCACCCTCCCTCGCTCACTCGCATTTTGTCTGTGAGCTGCGGGCGCCAGATAAGCCAACATCCCCCATTTCATCACTTACAGCGCCCATCGTACAGGGCAAATGAAAGGTGGAACCGGGGTGAAAAGGGTGTTACATTTACTTAATTGTGAATATTATTACATCAAGGCCGAAAATTAGGATGAGCCCCAACGGTCAAAATGTTTTTTTCCCTCCCAGAACTGCCAGCGCAGCACCTCCCCAGATCTGGCGCCTTAGGCGAACATCTAGCCAGCGCTACGGGCCGGCCCTGAGTTCATATCATGGTTCATATGCAACTCGCAAATATCTTTCTCTCTCTCTCTCTTCTCTCATCTCTCCTCTCTCCTCTATTTTCTCTTTTCTCTTCTCCCTTCTCTCTCTCTCTCTCAATGTTGGTACGCAAATGCGCTTTGTTTCAAATGACCCGGTGCTCTTTGTTTGGCGGAGGTGCGCATGCGCACCTGCGCACCAGTTATGTGCAGCCCTGGTTATAAACATAGACTGTATATAAAAATAGATGACACCTCTACTCTCCTACCCACTGTACAAAAGTGAAGCCAAAATATCCCAGGAAGCATACGGAAGCTGCCATCTTTTGACATCATTTGGAGGCAAAGTTGTCGCAGTAGTGATTGAGGGGCTGGAGCCACAATATTGAGGTTTCGCCCACTCAACTGCACGGGCCAATCACAAGCCGAACATGACCTCAGCTTGTGAGTGCGAGCAACCTGGCAGCTTACGTTAGCACCACGGTATCTGTTGGGCTAGATAGCCACAAAAAATAAACAGAATATCTGTATTAACAAATAAAAAAAATCTCTGTATAACTAACAAAATACAATTTAATTTGTGGACAGATTACTATATCCTCTTTTGTTCTCTCTCGTCCTCTCCTCGTGCCGCAGGGGAGCAGGGACAATATGAGTGTGGTCCTGGTGTCTTTACCCGGAGCTCCCAAGATCTCAGAGGAGGCTTTGAAGAAAGAAGAGGAGTTGGATAAGTACCTGGAGACCCGTGTTGAGGGTCAGCACACACACCTCATGCTCACTCACACAAACATGCATTATTCATAATATTCTGTAGGGTACAGTTACAAATGAGTCAGAAAGATTTAGAAAAACGCTATGGTCTTGGTAGTTGACCATATTCTTTTGGCACTGTTAAGGACTATTTTAGTAATGTTTATCTTTAAACGGACTTATGTGCTGTATTTGTGGTAAATGATTATAAATTGTCCACGAGTTGTAGTTAAATGCCCACATTGTTTTCTGGGCCCAGCAGTCTTTCGTTTGCCTTCTTCAAAAAATATTTTTAAAAAAAAGTGATGTGCTTGACCTGGGCAAAATAAACATTTTTTAGGTAGCATTACAAATATTTTAAATCAGTCACACACACACACTGTGATTTTTCCAGCACCATGGAGGAGTTCTCTGACAAAAGTAGTGTTTTATCACCTACATCTACAACATAACCTCTCGCAAACCCCTGGTGCCCTTTGTGTTTGTGTGCAGAGCTCCTGGGGAACTGTGGGGAGGCGGGAGTCCCTGACCTGGTGTCTGTCCTGAGGAGCATCGCCTCGGAGAACATCCCCAACCTTCCACCTGGCGGAGGCCTGGCCAGCAAGTAAATACACAGCCTGGAACTGCATTAAACTACATCTTACTCACAGAACATGTTCAAATGTTATTGGACTTGACTGTCGACATCCATTATTTTGTGACAGATACTTTCACAAACATTTATCTTCAAGATATTGCACCCTTATTTACACAGAAATCCTGTGTCAGGAATAACAAACACTTCATTTGTATAGGAATTTGAACATGGTTACAAAGCGCTTTAAAAAGGGACATGACAGACAGGAAATAGATTGTACAATAACAAGGCTGTAAACAAAAATACTTTCATTATCAATGAATTCACTTTATTCCTAGTTAATAATTGTATCTAAAAAGTGTCAAAAAAAAATCGACAAACCTGAATTTATTTAAATGTTATGATCTTATTGATCCATCACTTTGTTTACTGATTGTCTGATTATTTAAGTCGACACATAGAGCTGAAACAATTTGTTGATTCCCAAAAAGTCGTTAATGTCACTTTTCAAGCCAAAATCACCACAATGAAGTATTGTTTGCTTTCCATTGTCCTCCATTCTATCAGACAGAACATATGTGGGTTTAGCTCTGTTGATCTCCTCCTCAAACACTTACCTGTAAAAATGTATGAAGAGATCCTGCAGGTCTATTTATACATGAACAGCGGATGCTCAAGTATCGACTCGGCTGCTTTCTTAGTTCCATTAAAGAGTGAATCAATACACATTTGCAAAGAATGCACAGAGACTGTTTGTATTATGTTGGGAGTTGTCCTCTCCTCTAAGCAGCGAGCTGTGTGCTGTTTGTGTGTTTACAGACGCAGTGTGATCGAGGCCGTGTACAACAAGCTGAACCCTCACAGAGAAGAGGAAGGGGTGAGTTGATCTCTTTAAACCCCTCACCTCTCAGACCTTTCACCCCCCCTCAACATGTAAACGCACACAGGCCCAGACAACGACACTTTTGTGTGTGTGGGTGTGTTGGAGAATGAATGTGATTTAAGTGTGAAAGAGGGTGGAGGATAGACTTGGCAGAATTACCTTGGCAAGCCCAGTGAAACTCATTTGTCTGCATTCCATGTCAAAAGGCATCGAAGCGTCGCGGTCCATCTTGTATTTATCATTGGAATAGTATTGTATTAGGACCTCCATTAACCTCATAAACTCCTCAGCAACAAATGCCCACAAAAACCTACTGATGACTTTAATAGCTTTTCAAAAGACCCCGCACATGTTTTAAGACATAATAATACTGCTTGGAATCAAGTTATATTGAACTACCGGACTCAAGGTGTCTCCTGCGTCACTGAGCAGTCCATTCGTTGTGCTTTTACAATTAACAGGTTGGTACATGTCTAAAACGCAGATTCAGGGTGAGCCGGTGAGCACAGAGAAACGTTCCTTCTTAAGCAGACGAAGGGGAAAACAGACGTCTACTGTAAAACTCTGCACAAACATCGCGCGTTGAATCTTAAGTTATTATAAGAAAAACACTTTTCTGATTGTGCAGGGAATTAAAAAACAAAAATAAAGATAAATATGTTGCTTTTTTCTAAAAAGTGGCTAGCTGAAGCGTACAGAGGATATAAAGTATGTCCAGAAAGCAAGACCATCGCTACACGTGACTATATTTTTCTTGTCTTGGATAATATAATTCATCTTCATTACATTTCTTTAGGAAAACAACCTACCTGGGCAGAAATAGGCAAATCACCTCCAGCATCAAAATCATGTCATGATTATTCAGGAAAACTCTATAACGGTGTATCGATTTAGAACAATGCTGTTAACATGACTCGCCCATGATAACTAAAGTTATTCTGTATGTCATTATTATTTTAGTTACACTTGGCTAGAAATATGGCTTAATTGTTTAAAAATCTTAAGATTGTATATCCTCACTCTGTGACAAAATGAACGACAGATGCTTAACACAGTCACCTATCCGACCTCAAAGAATCAGGGCTTGAATATGAAATAAAAAAACAAACAATATACAGTCGAGAATCACGTTAAAGAAATAGATGCAAAGGCCACGGGGACAAACGGAGCTCAGTGTCAGGTTTTAAACGGCGTGGAAGTGTGAGATGCGAGTTTGTGTTTACGTATGAGTGTACTTGTCATATTAATATCAGTGGAGTCTTGACTTGCAGGCTCTTGTCTCTGGGCTGTGTGCGTGCCCCCCCCCCCCCCTCTCTGTTACACCATACAGCGAAAATCACAAAGGGTTGTTGGTCACAGGGTCAGAGGCAGCGTTTGCATGGGCTGGTCCGACTGGTGCAAGAATGTCTCAGACGTCGTCACGCTAGTGTGTAGCAGATAATTGTGTGCCAATGATGTGAGTTTTGTTGCCGTTGCTTGTTTGTGTACGTGTGTGTGTGTGTGTGTGTGTGTTTGACCGTGGAGCGTGCCTGCAGAGTCTGACCCCTGGCGCGTGTCACCTCAGGCCTGTGCGGGGGGAGAGGAGGAGAGTGAGGAGGGAGGTGGCAGCACGGCGGCTCATCTGCTGGAGGCTCTGCGGCAGTTCCGCCTGCACCACCGGGGGCAGTATCAGTCGGTGCTGGAGGAGTCCCTCGCCACCTACACCCTGCGGGGGGAGAGCGCGGCGGAGGGGGCGGGGGAGGGAAGGAGGACCCCCGGAGACGGCGACAACAACGGCCAGCAGCAGCCCGCCTCCCCTCCCTCTCCCCCGGTCACCCCCACCCTCACCCGCCACTGCAGAGCCGGAGGCCAGCCAAGATGCGCCCGCCCTCGAGTCCGACCCCTCCTCTGACTGAGCACACCCCCACCCCCCCTTCCAACCCAGCCCAACCCCAGAGCCCTAGTCAGCTGTGCTACGACCTCTCCTCCTTCCCTTCACCACAGAACTTAAATGGACACATCGGCCTCCATCATGGTCTGCACAACTACAGCTACCATGCTCATGAATATTTCAGTATATTGTAATGCAAAGGAAATAAAAAAACGTCCCTTCTGTCCATTCAAGTTCTGTCTGCGAGCCACTTGCATACCTTCCTCCTAATGAGGGCTCTTTTCTTTTGCCTCCCTCCCCTGTCCTCTGACCGCCTCAGCTTGGACTCCCTAAACTTGCCAGACACTTTCACACTCCACACTGATGTTTAGACTAGGAAATAATCAATAACAAATTATTATTATTACATTCAAAAGTGGCTGGTGAAGCAAAAAATGAACTTTGCACTCCATGGCCAACATTTTTACCAGTAATGGCTTCTGGCTGATTCCCCCCCCCCCGAGCCTCACCCCCCATCCCTCAAACCTGCTTACAGTGGACGTACTGACAAAGAGAAGGCAAAGAGATCTCCAGCTGTGATTCAACACACTGCACTGTCTCCAGGCCAACTCCCTCTACAGACTCAGAACACACTTTCTTTTTCGTTTATGTATGTATGTAAGTGTGTGTACGTGTGTCTGCGAGGGTTTGAGTGAGTCCAACCAATCATCACTACTGTAATTTCAAAAAAAAATTGGTAGTGGGTGATTATTGATTGTTAGCCCGTTTATCAGCTCAGCGATGTTAGGTTGTTCAAACCAGTCCGGATACAGGAAAACCAGGCAGTTAAACCACAGTGGGACACTTGTAGTTTGAACGGCATTTTATTTAGATCATTCCATCACCACATATTCTTATTTCCACATCACCACATTTATTACGCTGCCTCACAACCACATAAAGGTCAAAATATGTTCCTGTATATGTCAGTAAAGCTCAAGTAGGTGACTAAATGTTTGTTTAAATGAGAATTAGGCTTTAAGTACAGTATAGAGCCACGCTACTACTGTAGCAACCCTCAAAGGCTGTAATGCTCATTACACAGCGGAAAAGTTACCTGTTGGAGGGATTAAATTAAAAAGGGTTTAGTTTGTACAGTGTGTGATTTCTTGCTCTACATCGTGTGACATGGATCAACCTTTGTACTGGCTGTGTCATCTTTGTCAGTGTTAGCTGTAATACTGTCAGCAAATCCTAGCCTCTGTTGGCATAGCCCCGTCCCAGAGGGAAGCTGTGCTCTACTCTTAAATGCTGCCTCCTCAGGTTAGGAATGAGCCCATAATGAAAACTGGGGCACATGTTGATGATCCCTGCTTTATCAGAAAACTACTTTTTGATATCAGTTCTTTAGCTTGTGAGCTTGGGATGAATACTCATGTTAGCATTGGTTACATGCTTTCATTAGCATTCATCTCAATGCACAGTGCAGCTATTCCGACAAAGTTCACCTTTAAGAAAAAGTCAAACTGTAGAACTGAACCTGAGGTCAAGAGACAGTTCCCCCCAAATTATAACACATATTTCTCCTCTTACCTATAGTGTTTTTTAACATTGTTTTGTTGTAGACTTCTCTTGAATATGAAGGGCCTAAAAATTCCTTTGAAAAACTCAAGAGCAATGTATCGTTCTAGTTTTCTTTCTACAAAACTAAATAAGTTTGTATTAATAAAGTTTATGGTATGTCTTTACTAACAAGGTCACAATTTCCGAAAGAGTCATTGGTGTTGAGTTTTTCAAATGTTTTTGTTGGAGGGACTGCAGATATCGTCACACATAGAAAGTCACTATAGATACTAACTAATCATGCTTCAGGTAACAATATGTTTGTTTTTTTGGCTACATACTCAGGCTCACACGTTTTTCCCAACACATGGCTAACATTACATCCCTCAAGAGTCATAGCTAGCGTGGCTAAAACATATAGCATTTAACCCCACTGTAGGCTTAATGGGAGAGAGTTGTGTACCTGCGCTCAGTTCTCTGTGTAGCTGAAGTTTTAATGAAGCAGGTTTTCATTAGGTTCCCACTGTTCATGCCGACAGCTGCTGGTATGAACCCTGGCAGGATGTGTTTCAGCTTGATTAAATCCCACACAAAGTATATTCCATTCCTCACAGGTTATGACAACGTCTCTTCAAAACAGCACAAGTCTTTCGTCATTGTGAAAGTTAGAGAACAGACCGAACCTGCAGTGTTCATTCTTCTGTGATAGCAGCTAGAGGATTGTTATTGAAAGTCTGTATAAAGCCTAGCACCCAGTGTAATGCATGCACTGCACTTATCCTTACAATATCTAAGGCACTTAACTATAGGAGGGGAGGTTATGCTAAACACTGCGCGTATGTATGTATGCGTGTTTGTATGAGTTGTATTTGTATGTGGTTACGTGGGCCAAATGAGTCCCACACACTTTAAAATGACAAATGAACAAATAAAAATGGTTTGAGGTATAATGCTATGATTTGTGTCCAGTGTGTGTAAGAGTATCTCTCTGTCATTTGAATGTACAGCTGTCCCTTTGTGTCTTGCACATGTTTCAAACCTTACACATGTGTAGATCAGGGTTGTGATTAGGCATACAATAGTCATATTCTCCCAATCAAAATGTGTTTTATGTCACCCAAGAAATCTTCAGATCCCAAGGTAAAGTGGAGGCATTTGATTGAGGGCCGTAGTGTCTCTTTCTATACTGAATATGCTGTTATAGTTTCTGTGTAGAAGATCTTTTAGTTCTAGCAGAAACTAAAATCCTCACCTTCTCGCCCTCCTCTGTCAGCTTTTAGCTCCGTAGACTCGACCCGTAATTTCATCTCAGCTGCTTCAAAGACATTTGAATCTGTCGTCTCCTTTAAAAGAATAGCAGCAAAATAAAAGCCTGCCGCTGCATTGCATGAGCTGGCGGCGACACGCGCGGAGGGGGAGCTGCGTAGACTATAGGGACTCTCCATTTCTCCCCCCTGTTTTTCAGTCTGACAGTTGGCCTCGTGATTCTCCGCAAGGTGAGTCATCAGAGGTCTGGGTTCTGGTTGTGTTAACGTACAGGCTGGGCAGGGGAATGTCACTGTCTTTCACCATTATCCAGTCAATGTGGGAAGATAAGAGGGGCAGCGAGGTTCAAAAATTGCCATTTTTTTAAGGGCATCAGGAGCAGTGTCTCTACTTCTGTGCGCATTGAAAGACGCAGCAACAATACAACTAACCCACACCTCTCCCATCTTTTTCCCCTTTTCACTCACTCAGAGTGCCGGTGAGCTGGAAGACCCCTGGTAGCTGTGGAAACGACCCCCCCGTCTCCTCCTGGTGATCTGTGCATCCGCCCAAAGGAGGAGTGTCTCTCCATTGCGCCATGTCTTTCTCCACTAAAAAGAGGACATGTGGTGTGTGTTGGAGTGAGTGTGCGTATGTTGGTTGTGCATGTGTGTGTGTGTGTTTGCAGCAGTGGGACAAAGACGACAACAACAACTACACACACACACGCATACTGCTTTAAACCTGGAGGAAAACAAAAAAAAAATCACTTTTCAGAAATGTCAAGATTTTATGAACTGAAAGCATTGTGACGGTAGAGATTTTTACCTTTCAGGTGTTTTTTTTTTGTGTTTTTTTTCTTGAATGTTGACATTGAACACATGACTTCACAATGACATGAGGACCTATAATGTGGGTATGTGTGTGTGTGAGAGTTTGTGTGTGAGTGCTTTTTTTTTTCCCGGAGAGGGCCAAGAGAAGACAGACGGTGGATAAAGACTTGTGATTCTTCTTCTCCTGGACTTTTTTCCTTTATTGTGCTACTGGGTCTAATATTTGCCTAACACCATGCTTCTCCCCTCTTAAATGACACACACACACACACTCTAACACACACACACCATTAAAAAAAGAAACAAACAACCCAAACCCACCCTCCACTTCCACCTGTGTATTTGATGTGTGCCAGCTTCGCAGGGCACTGCATGAGGACTCTGGTTCTACATGTACAGCTTTGTGGTTTTTCTAGTCGACCCGGATTCGACAGCCATTGGTTGAGACTGACTGAACCCGAAGGACCTCTGCACTCTGATTGGCTCCTGCCGTGTGAGAAGTGGAAATGATTTGGATTTTTGTTGTTGTTGTTTATGATACAATTAGGATGACGATGATAATCATGATCGGGGTAAATGGGAGGTTATCTTGTTCACTGAAGAGCCGAGTGCAAGTGGGACTCATGGAGGCGGGGTTGGGTTGGGTTGGGTTGGGTGGGGGGGGGGTGTTGTATCACTGGTTGGACTTCCTGTAGAAGGAGGGTAAGGGCAGGAGGGCGGTGGGTCAAAGGGGGCTTCCCCACCTCCCTCCCCGCCTTCATGGTTGGAAATGACACATGACGGCGGACTGTCCTGACAGAAGAACTTTTTTTTTTTTTTTTTAATGTTGTCCATGAGGTTACTAGCTGCTCGCTATGTAGAGTGAGTGAACTCCCTGTTTTAACCCTGTTCCTGGTTCTCAGACTGCATTGGTAATGTTTGTATTGCTGTTGTTTGATTGCACTCACATTTGATTACAGAAAGCGTCTATATATGAAATAAAATACCTGCCAAGGATCAAGTGGTGGCTGTTGTTTTAATGAGAGGTCATGTTATTTCTGGAAGCTGGGGTACGTCCCCAGAGGCCTTTTCTTTTTCACCTCAGAGGCCCGTATCCTCAAGCAGGACCAATCAGATCAAGAGACCGAGGTATAGTTAACCACACTGCAAAAACTATAGCTGCAAAAAGCTTTTTATATTCCCAGCAGGAATGCTGTAATGACACCACACACACACTGAAAACAATACCAGCCACATGCTGTTGCAGCAGGTAAAAATAAACCACAAGTGTCAGTCAGGTACATACTGTACTATAATGTACATCCACAGTGACATACAAAATGTGCTAAATTCACAAACCTAATTGTGTCTGCCAGTACCTATATAATTTTATTACAACAATTCATCCCTAAAACCAGTGGCCCACATTAAAAATTAAAAAACATATATATTTATTTTTTATTTTTAATAAACAAGGTAAATATGATATAATTGGTATCAGTCAAATGTATAATCTACAATAAAATGTCGTTTAAAATTGTGTTACGAAGTCTAAAGTTACTGATAAGTCACATGTTTCCTGCCTGGCCTTGCCCGTGTATCATTACTCTCTCTCGTCTGGGCCCTATGCACAGCGCCCAGACGAGAGTGCAGCCAGCAAGTGCAGCAGAAGCCAACTGTTGCTATCTTTAAACTATGACGCCGAAACATAATTTCAGCCAATCAGCGTCGTCAAATCTGATGGTCACAGGGCGCCCATGTCAGCGCCCGGTGCAGTCTGTGAGTTGTTTGGACTCGTATAGAGTGGCGAAGAACCTTATTTTGGAAAAATTATGTATTGAAGTCAATGGAGAGAGAAAGATTATCTTTTGTTCCATTTGAATTGTGCAACGAATTACACATATGATGTTTGTCAATTTAAAAGATAATTTTGCAAGTCAAAAAAATAAAAATGTGTCGTAAAACTGTGAAGTAACACATTTTTGTGTGTGAAGCGCTCAATGAACTACAACTCTGGTCTTGCATACGTCACCAACACTAAGATTGCCGTCACGTTAGCACATTTCACCTCTTTCTTTCAGAATGAAGTGAAAAGTATTAAAATAGGTGAAAATCACTACAAGTCTGGGCATGTTGAGAACTGTACACAAAAGGGGAGTTAGTCGGTTCCGTAAGAGCCAACATGCGGGACCGGCTTTACAAGGTTTTGGTGAGTAACACGAGTGTGATGTGTAACGTTAATGTACGTGACTCTGGGATTTGTAATCTTTCTAGTTGCGTATTTTTCATAGTCTTATATTTCAACAGTTTTAAGACAAACTGACTTTTTTGACATGGAAATGATTTTTTAAGATTGACAAACATCATATGTGTAATTCATGGTACAATTCTTTCACACACACATACGGGTTTTGGGCCGAGGGCGACACCGTACTTCCGGTATCCGCCATTTCACACGAGGTGCAAGCAGAATATCATAGTCTATTGCCTTAATCAATATAGTCAACTCTAAAATACCACATATATGCATTGGCATGATAATATTATTGTGACAAGTGGGGTATTCACCTGGTGTTTCCAGAAGATAGACGTAGATGCTGCCAAAATCGACTGAAGGCCACTTTCGAGAGTCGTTTTTCCATACATCTGCAGGCAGTCTGTAAGGGCAATCCGACAACCCACACAGCTCTAGTTTACGCTGGTAACGACCTAGAGCACACCCCTCAAGTCCAGAGATGTAATCCGAAGACATGCAGCGATTTCTTCGGTCGTTAATTCAGAAAAAAAAACAAGTGCGCTCTGCCTGGCTCATACTTGCCAACCCTCCCGATTTCATTGCCCTCTCCCGGTTTCCTACCGGGGTCATATTTCTCCCGCATTTCTTCCGATTTCTGACAAAATCAGATTTACTCAGGACTGTTTCCACTCGGACTTTAATACAGCTACACCATTGTTTGGTTTCCATGGTAGCGCGTCTCTTTAGTAGCGTGCGCAACTGAAAGTCTGAGAGGGTGAGGCAGATAGTCACATAAAACAGAACAAGAATCGACAACACAACCCTCTGCTCACTCCTCTCCTGTAAAATACAGGTCCAGCCCACATATGCTCCATCAAGGATGGTTCTACAGGCTGCAAGACATTGCACTTACAACTACAATAAGCATGTTAATGTTAATCTAATACAGCTCCCCCCCCCCCGCGGTGGTTTTGAAATGCTCCCGATTTCTGAGTTCTCAAGGTTGGCAAGTATGCTAGCTGTTTATATTAGCACCTCAAGGATATTTGCACCTCCAGAAAAATGGCGTATTTATATATATATATATGGCGCGCGTTGCATTGTGGGTAGCTCGTGACGTCACTGTGTGTGAAAGAATTCAAACGGGATCGAAAGATACGTTTTCTCTCTCCATTGACTTCAATACATAATTTTTCAGAAATAAGGTCCCATGGGGCGGAAGTAGATGGGCGTGACTTCACCACTCTAGCCAAGGAGACAAAACAGGAAGCGGTCATACACTCTGGAAGCTATCATTAGCAGCTAATATGAAAACTCAGGTTTTGACATAAAAATGGAATTATGGATTATCAATAATTATTTCAAAGTGACAGACACATTGGATTAACCTTCAGCTGCGTTTTTCTCGTTTTTTGATCAGAATAACAGCAAAAGGTGAGCATATCTCCGTGTTTTGCTAAACTACGTCGTGTGATGTCTGTATTTATTCCCCTGTCGCAAGTTCTGATCGCTCAGTGATGATACTTATATTTCTAGAATCTGTGGAATCTCAGCTTGTTAGCTAAGCTTGTTTGTGCATATCCGATAAGTATATCGATTGATTTATACCTAGAGCGCGTTAGCATTTTTTCCTCAGGGCTCATTTAGACGCTTCTTGTGAGACTTGTGTTTTGTTTCGGTAAAAATGGTTCATATCATCAGTTAGCTGAGTTTCTTCCTGTTAAATCAGTAGGACACATGAATAGTTTATTACATTTTAAGAAGCCCTGAGACAGTTTCGTGAGAAAAAAAAAACCCCTTAACAGGTTAAATGGGAATTAAATCACTTTAAATAATTTTGAGTGTTCCCAAAGCCCCGGTGTTCTGCAGTTTGTGTGGGCCTACTGTAGCCTACTGTTTCACAGTTTATATTGTAGAAACTATGTCCAGGACAAGGTGTTTGGAAGTGTTGGAAGATTCATAGCTAACCACACTGAAGGTTATGGAGGTATTGATCAGTCTCCTCATATTTTTAAGTCTCAATTTGTCCTTCCCCCCCCTCTAACATCACCAGTAGTCATAATTTAAGGGGTCTTTTCTCAATTTTTTTTACCGGGGGAGCATCCCCCCGGGCCCCCCTAGTATTGTTTGGTCACCATTTCCACAGCCCCACCTAAAAATATTTCCCACCAGCCGCCACTGCCTAAAACATAAACTAAATAAATGATTGAAGCTTCATCTTGTGGGGATAATAAATGTCTACACACATTTCATGGTAATCCTTCCAATAGATTTTGAGATGTTTCAATACTAACCAAAGTGATGTAGCAACTGACTTTGCCATCCATAGATTAATTACAACACACACACACACGCTGTCTAATCTGTCACTCTATCATAATTTGATCCTAATCCCTAATCACAATCACATCGTATCTTGAAGGTGTTCTCAATCTGTAGTGGGATTATGGGATTGCAGAGCATGTGTGGCAGACTGTGAATGAGCCATCCAAATACCGTGGTGATTGTGTGTTTATGTGTGTGTGTTTAGGGGGGTGTAAGGGGTGGATTTAATTTGATGATGGATGGGGTACAGGGTGCACCCTCGCACTGATTCACCCACTGAATCCACTTTAAGCCTAATATTACAAAAACAATAGACACTGACCTGCAAATGTGTCTCCCCCCCTCCTCAGTTGATCTTTAATCTCTTTCACTTGAATTTGTTTGTGTACAAGTACATGACATACAACAAGATAAGACACAGATCTACCCCCTTTTGCTTGTTGTAGTCACATGGTCACATTTATTCTAAGCCATGTACGGTTGGGGAATCCACCACTTTGTCCAAACTGAAATATCTCAACCTATTGTATGGAGTATCGTGAAATGTGACTTACCAGCAGTCTAACGTTTTCAGTCACCATTCTAATATGCTTTCATGAATTGGTAGAAAAAGCTACTATACTCACGAGTAAAAGTCCTGCATTCGAAATTATACTTTAGGTAAACTATATAATACAAATCTGCAACATTTGTCCTGAAAGATATTATTTGTTCACACATAGGGTATGGATCTTGTGCAAGATGAAAAAAATCTTCATATTTGATTGAGTTATTGTGTGTTCTGTATGATAAATCAACATTAGTGCTTTGAAACTGTATACGGATAAATGAAGTAAGGTAATAAGTAATGTCCTCTTTAGCATATATAGGAAAAACTGAAAAGAAAGTACTTAAATTATGTTTTTGTAGTTGCTTATTTCATAACAAAACACTACTGGCATCTAATCAATAGAGTTGGACACATTTTGTACAGACATTCATGTTCCCCAGAGGATGAACCTGTGACTTTTCCTGTAGTTACACCATTATGATTTAGAATTAAATCTCTAAACAACTATTGGACAGATTGCGATGAAATTTGGTTCAGACATCTATTATGCCCATATCCTTATGTTGGGCCATCACAAGGTCTAATATGTCTAATATTTCGGTTTATGAATAAATACTGGCCATGTCTGGAGGGTAGTGCTAGAACTGCGAAAATGCCAGCTGGTTATGGTGAAGAAAGGTTGTTGTGCAGCAAGTCTTGCGTGTTTGTAAAGTTTCACCACAAGAGGGTAACCATCAACACACAACAACCGAACATACTGTACCTGTAAAACTCATGATCCCCACTATGGTCCATCAGCCTCAGCTGCACTGGGTAATTAGTGCTGGCAGGTAAATCTCATTATGCTGACATGCTCAACTAAGATAAGTGAACATGGTACACACTGACATTGGTATGCTAATGATATAAAGTTGTCTTTTTTAATCACATTTTTTCAGGTTTGTTTCCCTCTTTTCTCATTTAAATTGACGGCGCCTTCTGAACGACAAAGCTTTTATTCAGCCCTCCACCTTACCTGGATCTGTCGGGAAAGCTGACAAAAACTCAATTTACAGAGTTTATACATGGTGACACAGAACCTGCCCTGCATTACAGGATCTTTATAATGTATCTGTATGTGACTGTTTAAGCATTCCTCTTGTGAAAGGCAGAGGAAGATGTTCAGTCCTCTTTATATCTTAAGGTCAGCTGACCCTGTTTGACCCCACAGGGGCTGAAGATGATGTGCCAATAGAAAAACCAACAGCTTTGTTAGCAGGATGAGAAACGCTTTTTAACTGCTCCCGTGCTATCCCTTGCGTTCTTCTTCCTCCCACTCCTTCTCTTTCACGGCGAAGGATGTAACCTTGCACAATTGAAATGTCAAACTGGGTGATTTTGCACGAGCATCACATTTCAACCGAGACTCCTTGTGTCTGAATTTGTTATCATGGCTCCAAATGAAAGTTTAAAAGGATTGTAATATCCATACATGATGAAATATAATATACTGATGGACCCCTGAAATATGTGTGTGTGTGTGTGTGTGTGTGTGTGTGTGTGTGTGTGTGTGTGTGTGTGTGTGTGTGTGTGTGTGTGTGTTGTGTTGTGTGTGTGTGTGTTGTGTTGTGTGCATCTCACCATATGATTTTGAGTGGAGTAATTTAGCAGATGAGCGTGTGGCCATTGTTAGAGGGATAATCTGGCTCTTGCTGCTCAGATAGGTTAACATGCAGCAGATTAGACCAGATTACCCCAAACCACACCAGACAGCACAGCTTCCCCCCCCCCCCCCTCCCTCCACTTCCCCTCTGAGCACCCCCCCCTTTTGCTTTCCTCCTCTTTTCACTCTTCATGACCTCGACTTTGCTTCACTTCATCCTCTTGGCTAAATTAAATTCTATATCCTTTCCCTACTTTTCCTCTACCCTTAGTCTTGCTTTTTCCACTTATTATTCCTACATCTTTTTTCTTTTTGTTACAAATATATACACTTCTATTTGTCCAAATCCACGTTTTGGAATCTAATCTTTCAAAGCCAAACAAAACATGCAGGTACAGAACAATCATTTAGGTTGGATTCATTTGGGTGGAAATGCTTTGGATCCGAGATCAGTGACTTTTTACCAAAGTGCAACCTATAATTAACATTTCATATTAAAAGTATTCCTCCTACTTGGGTTTAGTTAGAATTTTTTCTAAAGGCACATTTTTGCCCTTAAAACCTGAAAAAGGGGCATCATTTTGAAAAGGCATGAAAACAAAATGCGTAATAGTGAACTCAAAAAAGGATTTAATATAAAGTAGGATTATATCACAGCCTGGAGTGGACACTCTATAAACGTTACGTTAAATATGAATAATTGTATTTATTTTCTTTCTCTTCCAGATTTATATACCCAGTTTGGATTGAAAAGATTTTAAAATCGGGCTCATTCTCTTCATTTCCTTTTCTTTGGCATGTTTTCCCAACCTGGTGAGTTTTACAGGAATGTGTTTGATTGGAGGATGTTAATGTATGAGAGGCAGTATGTGTTTCCTTGCATCTGTATGTCTCTGCCAGACGTTTGTTCAGGTTCCAGCTGTTTGTATTTTTGGCCGCTTGCATTTGTTTGTCAGGCCGCTGCTGTGTTTGACTCACTTAAGCTACTGAGCGAGATGACACTAACAAAGCACTGGATAATGATGTAATCTCTGCCTTCACATCTGGCCCAGCTGTCATATGAGGAATTATTAGTCAAATTATCTGATTATTTTGTTTATTAATCTATTAGTAAGGTGTTAGTGCTTTAATGTCTCGCCTCCCATCTGCCATGTGTGGATGATTGTTTGTGAGCATCTGTGTGTCTGGTTAGGTGTTTACATGTGTATTTATGTTTCTCTTTATGTAAAAAAATAACATCTCTACTCCAGGGGTTTCAACTCACACAGCTGGAATATGACCTCGCCAATAAAAGCAGCAAGATTAACTTCCAGGTGCTGGGTTACAAATCAATCAGGGAGCAGGATTAGTTGCTCAGGTACAGTTACATGAATACCTGTCTTTCTCAGCTGTCTGTGCAAAGGGCGACATGGGGTCATATGGTGACCACACACACACACACACACACACACACACACACACACACACACACACACACACACACACACACACACACACACACACACACACACACACAACACATCCATCTGTTCGCATATGCCACATTTCATTTGACCAATATCCCATAACCCAAATATATTTTATTTACAGTGTATATAAAGCAACTAATTTTCATGGGGGCTGAAACCAGCATTTTCCTTCATTAATGACTTTAAAACAGCTTGTGTCCTAGTTGTGCCACACTGTACATAATTTCCTTTTTGGGTGGGTGTTATTGAAATAGTTTATGGTGCAGGGTCTTGTGCATTCAACCTGATTGCTGGCCTGTAGAAGAATGCATATGAGGCGTTGTATGAGGAAACATTAAATAATATAAAAATGCATTTGTTGTTGAGTTACTCCTTTAAATGAGAATGTATCATAATTTTACTTTTCTACCATCTACCTTATTGACAAACAGACTATCCGACACTAAATTAACCGTCACTCTTAGTAAAAACCTCCCGCTCTCTCCAAATCTTAATTTTCATCCTCCTTCACCCGCCACAATTTGCCCCCCTCCTTCCTGTTTTTCTGGGTACCATTGTGCACCGAACTCTCCTGGATCCCAGTAAGAGCACAAAAGCACAACAAAGACCCAGGAAGTGATTAGTGGCTTAACGAGGAGGAGGCTTTGCGGAGAGTTACGGGGGCAGCATGGCCTCTTCCATAAGAGGAGGTGAGGGGGTTAAAGTTTCAGGGCTTAAGAGGTCAGTGTTAAGTTTTGGAGGTCAGTGGAGGGGTTAATTAGGAGCAGGGCTTTTGTTTACGGTGGATAAGGAGACGCAGGAGGCGATTCACTGGGTATCCTCGCTGTGCTCCTCCAGCCACCCTGGAAGTGTCATCCAGCCCTGCTCTCCTTCCTCCTCCCTCATTGTCCCGCCACTGAATGGAGATGTAGCTGAATTAACTTAATTGTCACCATTACGACACACTCGCCCCCTCATCACCACAACACACCCATACACACCTCGATTATGTTTGGTTCGTCCTTCCTGCTTCAATTCGAAGAATGCATTTTCAACTTGGAAGAGCCCTGGCCATGACTGTCACTCTGTGTGTGTGTGTTTGTCCATTGTTTTCTGCTGTTTAAACACACACACAGAAACATGCTGCAATCCTCTGGAGACTCAAGCATCTCAAGTAGAGCCGAATGAACCACTCCATGTGAATGTGGTAACAAGAAGGAACTTAACTGACATTGAAACGTCTTCTTGGCTGCAACATTTTCCCATGGCGATCCCCAAAAAATCTCCTCTATCGGATTTACTGTCAGTCTAAGGTGCTAAAACGATTTTAGCACGTGCTCCTGTAACCAAGCATGACCTTTAGTTTAAAGAAAGGATCAACATTCATGCAGCAGAGCTGGAGATAACATATTTTTTATTTCATACATTCGTTGTCCAAACCTGGCACTATGTAACCCACAATGCAACTCAACCATCAAAGGTTTGGTTGGATATTCCGATGTGTGATGCGGCTAATGTAGCTTCGAGATGCTAGCCACAAGTAAAAATGAGGAGCGATCTTTTTAACCCCAGATTTTTTCCATTTTCAGATACTTAAACTGTTTGCGTTGGGCTGTTATTATTTTTAATTAATGTAAAGCCTATTTGATTATATTTAATGAAGGAGAGAGATTACCATGCATCATGGGGTAAAAACTGGCACACGTCTCCTCACTCCGCCATGCAGGGACATCTGTCTGTTGGAGTAATTGGCATTAACCCTTTAAAGCTGGGCGACCCCCTTTTTCACGCCCAACACATCTCCACTGGACCTCCCATTGGAGTTTTCATGTTTGTGACGACAACATTTAATGAGATGGTGCACAACGTATAAAAGCGTGTGTTTTGGTTTACTAAGGCCCTAAAAGAATCACCTTTTTATTCATATTTCACACTCATAGACGCAGTACATCTGCACTAAGGGTGCCACGCTCCAAAGCATATGGCCCAGGCCAACCCGATATGTGTTAATGCTGATTGAATATGCGGCTCTATTAGACTAATGTTAGCAGGCCCCATGCTAATCCAAGGTAAGAGAATGGAGCTGTGGCTTATCTCTGAATTTATGGATATTAGAGAATAGAAAAGTGATTAGAAAGTAATTAGAGTGGACGGAGACCACTTAGAGAAACGTATGCTTTCAGCTCAGGGTGAGAATTTCAATCACACTGTCCACATTATTGCTATTAATGGTGAGAGAGGCTTACCGCCAAAACCATAGAGGTTATGAGATTTAGACAATAGCAGACAGAGTTGTCAGCCTGTCTTCTTTTTTTTAACATGTCATACCACAATATATTTGTCTATGTTTAAAGGGCCTTCTTGTTTATTTATTTATTATTATTATTATTATTATTATAAAATATTCTCTAAAAGCTATTCAAGGTCAATATTCGTCTTGTGGTTGTCTTCACACAGGATTTACTGTTATGTTAGTCATTGCACTGCAAAACAGATGAAATATAAAATGTATTTAAATTTAAGAAGAAAAAAAACGACAGCAGTGTGGGTTTATTTAATAAATACATTTAAAAAAAAGCTTTTCATAATTCTTTGCACTTTTCAAAACAAGTTTCCAAATTCTTTACATGGATTAAAATAATTCAGGACGGAAAAAAGGCTATAATAAAATCAATAATGTGAGATATACAATACTAATAATAATAATTATAATAATAATTATAATAATAAAATACATGATTGAAATAAGATAGTGTGCTAACATACATTTATATTTTTGAGATAAAATAACAAAGAAAGTTTTAATATTTAACAAACACATTTGTTGAACAGACCTTGTTTTTAAAGTAAATACTATTCACTTATAGATGATATGAAGGCATGTGGATATCTTATCTCAAATATATCACTGCGACGGAATTTCATATATTTTTAAAATGTTTTTATGATGCCGTTTTACGTCCAATGGCACTGATTTTACTGACTGACTGACATGACTCGTTTTAATCTCCTTTAGAGTTCTGGAAAAAGCTAATAAGTGTTCGGTTTCCTGTTGAAATAGGTCACAATGAGAGTCAATTCAGAATAGACTCTATGTCCAGCTTGTGCTTAACAAGAGGGAGATAAATCCTCTGTGTTTGATTGACAGGGCTGCCATGACAACCCCGCATCAGCTCTAGGGTGTCCAATCAGGAGTCAGATCCAGGGTCCCTCCCTGACTCCCAGGTGAGCTAAAGAGTCAGACTTCAGCAGATTTCTGTCAGACTCTTTCCGAGACGCACTGCTCTCTGGTTTCATTCTGTCATCCAGATGGTGTTCAGGTCGCCACTCGACTTTTTCTCAGCCTCCCGGATCCTCCTGCCACACTTTGCAGATGGGCCACCTACCCTGGCCCGCTCCCGGTCCCCGGAGGACCCTCCCTCCGCCTGTCCTCCCCTGGCTCTCCCGGGAATGTGTTTCTCCGCGGCGCAGATCGCCAGCGTCTGCGAGACTCTGGAGGAGACCGGAGACATTGAGCGGCTGGCCCGCTTCCTCTGGTCCCTCCCGGTGACCGCAGACGGGCGCGACTCCATCTCTGAGCACGAGTCCGTGCAGCGGGCTCGCGCCGTGGTGGCCTACCACACGGGGAGTTTCGTCGAGCTTTATCACATCCTGGAGACGCACCGCTTTACGCGCGCATCGCACGGAAAACTTCAGGCGATGTGGCTTGAGGCTCACTACCGGGAGGCAGAGAAGCTCCGGGGGAGACCGCTTGGACCTGTTGACAAGTACCGCGTGAGAAAGAAGTTTCCGTTACCGAGGACAATCTGGGATGGTGAGCAAAAGACGCACTGTTTCAAAGAGCGCACACGGGGGCTGCTAAGAGAGTGGTACCTGCAGGACCCCTACCCAAACCCGGGGAAGAAGCGGGAGCTGGCCCATGCGACCGGACTCACACCGACTCAGGTTGGAAACTGGTTCAAGAACCGGAGACAGAGGGACCGGGCGGCAGCCGCCAAAAACAGGTCAGTGACTTTGACTTCTAATAAGTAACAGTTAGAGAAAACATATTGGGCTGAAAATCCACGCCATAGCAGCCAGAATAAAGTGTTACTAATGATTGTGTTGGTATAGGATTGAAATACTATTAAAGTCAAAGCAACTTTAATTTCCCCAAAAGCAGCCTCTTTATTGATTACTCTTACTCATTCTCTTGTTGAGGCAATTTCGTCTCCACAGGCAGCCAATGTTGTGCGTAAAAGAGGGCCATTCATGCGTAAACACGCACAGCCATTCAGCTTGTAGGTTTTTGTGTTCCTTCTGTCAGTCTGACCTGGACGATCTTTCCTCTTTCTGTCTCTCACTATAATTGGCTTCAGGATCAGTGTGTGGGTCATCCTGTTGATGAAGACAAAATGTTCACTAATGGGTGCAGATTGCCTGACATACATGCACTAATTTAGTTGGACAATGGCTTCATTTCTAACATTTCTATCAATTTTAACAATGTTATCACAAGCAGAGTTTCCCACTTTTGACACATCTTTATCACATGTTTTTAGGTTGCAGCATCACCGGATGTGTCCAGATGGTGTTCGGTCGCTCAGCGGAGGAGAGTGCAGTCCAGATGAAGAGCGAGCAGATGGAGAAACTCTTCTCTCAGTAACAGACAGTGACTCTGACTTGGATGTTTAAGACTTGAATGTACAATGGACCTTCGAGGGGCCTGTGATGGTCAGTTGTGGATTACCAGAGAGCGGAGGATGTGGACAAAAGGCTCTTCACGGTTTGGGTTGCAATAAATGTTCAGGGCTTATCCCCAGCCCATCAAACAGGTGATGTAACAAGTTGCATGAAGTTTCTTTTGTTTCCTGACAATGTGAAAAATGTTTCTCTATGCTGCTGGGTTTAAGTTTGTTTGATCACCAGACCCACATTTTAGATTTTTTAACTTCATCCATGCATGGATGGTGCATCTGTTGACCCAGCTTACCGTCACCCTGATTAAACAGACATCAAGCCGTGGACCCCCGTTGGACTTTAACCCATGGACCCCCCACTTGGGAGGACCTTTACAGACTGCCAGGGAGATAATCACTCTTATTTTCTCTAATTATGTGTCATTATGTTTTTTTTTGTTTTTTTTGAATGAAACGAGTTGTTTCTCTAAAAGACTCCAGGATGTCATGCTGTAGACAATCAATACGCACTAAAGCCTTACCTTCCTGTCTGGCTGTTTCTATGTTAATTAACTTTTATTTCTTCCTTTACCTTCACTTCTATTTAAAGTTCACAGAGTTCACTGTGCAGTCTGTGTGTGATACTATGTCAAACCTAATGTTACATTTTATGCTGAATAAATGTTTTTGGTATTTTATATAAATAAAAGTATTTAATATATCACTGTTATTGTGCCCAACACTCTTCTTTGATAACACCATCACTGTCAACAATTGTAAATGTTTTTTAAGTTACATTCATGTATAGACAATCAAAGTCAATACATAATAAGTACAAATATATGAATACAATGCAAAATGAAATTAATAATAATAATTGCCTAAAACAATGGTCTATACATCTATTTGTTAATAAAGGTTAATAATAGTTTTGGTAAATTATGTTTGTTAATCTGTCATATCTAAATTTGTTAAATAAAAAACTGAATAGAAGCATATGGTAATCATAAATAAAAAAGGTAACAAATATTTTTAAAACATCTCAATATGAAGCAAGCTATTAATACAAGTTGAAATGTCCATGCATTCTTGGTATTAACGGCAATCCATATGGCCATTCAGCTGTTTTTTTCTATTACCAAATTTGTTTATTTTTTTACAGATACCTACAATTTATGGATAGCTTTTTACTGCACTACATGTATTATATACCTTAAATAACCTTTAAGATGCAGATTAATAATGTAGAATACATCAAACATATGTGTTATAAATTAATGTATTATTATATGTTTTCCTAACATAAGACATTATTGTTTCCTTGGGGTGATTTTACAAGCCAGTGGAATTTAAACTAGTTAAAACCACCGTCACATCCTTATCGCTATTAATAATCCAGTTATATCATTATAAAATGGGCCATTCTGCATAATATACTTTATTGATGCTAACACTTAAATGTTTTTACATAAGGAACACTTTGAATGCAGGGCCTTTACTGTGGTTGTATTGCTAAACTGTATTGCTACTTTTAAAATAATACTTTCTCCACTGCTGTCTGATGGTTTCAATTACTTTCAAGCTTTCTCTGTTAAATTGTTAAAACGTTGCAATAGTTTCTAATATGTCTGCACTCAGAAGGCTCCCACATTAGGATATCCCACATTTTTTTCTTGCCATATTTTGATTGTCAAGTAAAAATTCACAAGACTACCCTCCATTGTTGGAAAAAAGAAATACAGATAAAAGAAACCGTATGAGTGGAAACACAGTCAGTCACTTTCATCAGGGCTGCCAACCCTCACGCATTGAGCGTGAGAGTCACGCAATCAACCCATATCTCACGCACTCACGCCACACATGTCTTTCCTCACGCTAAATTTGCGTCCAAAATAAATGTATATTATAAAAATAAAGTGAAGGAACAGCAAACCGAGCGGTCTACGAAATGAGACGGTCAACTGTCTTAGTTCAGTAAAGTTGGAACGATATTGGGAGATTCGGATTTCACGGATCAATAACTTGTGAACAAAACGTTATTCAGACACAAATGACGTCTCCTAAGTACCGTGGTAAGGTTGACAACGAACTACAATCACATTTTGATAAAAAAATAAAGCCAGTACGCGCCGTCCTCCGAGCTGGACACATCTCTATCCGCAGCCGGAGAAGAAACGAGTGCTCAGGGACCGTCTACAAAGTGCAACTCCGAAAAAAGATAATAGAATCATATTCAATCATTATACAGCTTATTACTACCAAACTCACTACACACATCAATAGTATCCTGTGTGTCATACTACAGCAAGGAGTTTGGAAGAATATGCTTTTGAATAATATTGGGGAATATTTATAATGTAAAATCTTCAATAAATATGGCATCATCTTAAATAACTTTACTATTATACAGTATATTTCTACCAAACTCACTACATTTGCATTATTGTTGTTAGGGTCTGGTTAGCTAGCTGCGCTAACGGATATTAGAAGCTGTTTCTAAAACAAGGAGAGGGAGAGCTCTCTCCTGTCAGACTGAGAGGCTCAGTGAGGTAAGGCCAGGGACTCTCTGAGTGTTTAGATAGTTAACTTTAGTCTAGTTATCTCAGTGGGTCTCAAACGTTTTGGTCACCATTTATGAGAATAAATGAAAAACAGTTATGAAATACTATATGACAGTAAAACAAGAATACAGTTTAAAAGGTGAGTGATTTGTAAAATATCCATAAAGAAAAATAAAATCTGTTTACAGTTCTGTTTCATATGGGTGTTGAGAGATGTATCGATCAATTAATTTTCCTCTCAAAATGCATGGTTAATGCATTTAACTTCAATATTTAAAAAACAAATCTGCTGAAAGCCCTGCTTTAATTAATCTGCTCAGCGGCTGACCAACACAGTGGCGCCCCCCCCGTGGTTAAAGTAAACACAGTCAAATAAAGATGTTAGCTTTTATTCATGAAATAAACAGTTCTAAATTACACTGAATTTGAATAGTGCACTCAACAGGTCAGATAGATTTTTTTTAACTTAAACGATGATATTAAACAGCGTTACATTCTCTTCAGATTCTTTATTTAACACTGTCCTTAGGATTTTACAGAATAAAATATTACTTAGTCCTTAGCAGCCTACCATAAGGTGATTGAAGGGCCTTCAGGGCATATAGTTAAATAGGACAGAAAAGCTTGACAGGGTTTATTTTCTTGTGAGTTAAAACTTTTTTTGCTGAGCTCCAAATCTTTCAAATAACTCAAGCTTGTGGGTGGGGCCAGCTTCAAACAGGAAGTTGAGCAACATCGCATGGAGGTCAGATGGAGGTGAGGACAGTAACATTTATGGGTTTTTGCTAGTTTTTGTCACAAGATCGTACAATTATTATACTGCACACACCTGTAATCGAAGCAAAACAGTCATGTACTACTGAAACCAAACCAGAAAAACTAAAAAAGGAACGATTTTCTTACTTTGGGAATGTTTTTCAAAGGCTTTGTAATGAAGATGTCGACCTTGCAATAGAGAACAGTTGAGTATATGATACACTACTTTTAATTTCTCCTTCTTTGCAGACCCCTAATCAACCGCAAAAATGTTCACAAACCAACACTAATGGTGCATTAACCTCCTAACCCTTCCCTTACTATGCCTGATTACTCTATAGCAGAGTAGGCCTACAAATAACAAATACCCAAGTCAAGGTTACTTGGTCAGGGCCTGGTATGCGCCAAATGAAATTCGGGAATTATACCTACACTAGCTCAAACCAATGATAAAATGTTTGGTCCCAATCACCTAAATGTTACAACAAATGATTTAGAGGGCAGTTTACTCAACAGTCTGTGCCACGCCTCCCTGGAATATGATGTAGGCCTACTCTTCTTTTACTTGAATGAAAAGCAAAACAACTTCAGTATTACTGAGATGTATCACTTGTTGTGTGGAAAAACTTACACAAGGCAGATATTCTAAAATGTTTACCTTTTTGCCACTGACTTATATTGTTACACAATGTCCTTCATTTTTTACAGAATGTAGCCAAATAATATACTTGGGTCTTTCTCGCTGCAGGGTGCCTTTTGGTGTCCTGTACATCGTCAAGTTGCTCAAAAAGGAAATATAAAAGTTGTTTGTCATATTAGTCTTACATTTCTATATTTACTAAAATGCCTTACTTGGCTCTTTAGACACATTTTCTAGATTTTTTTCATTTTTGTATCATTTGTATGCTATTTTGCTATGTCCCAAGCACCACCTATTAAATCAGTAAAATTATTCAAATCTTTAAGAAAAAGAATGTCTTCAAATGATTATTTTTGCTAATTAAGATATTACTCAACTTGAGTGCATTGATCATTTGGTGATAACAATCATATTTTGTTTATCAAAAGTTTCTTCTCTCTTCATTAGTAGGAAACTCAAAATCTAAAGTAAGTGAGTACCGGATTTTCTTTGGATAAATTAGATAACATGCTTTTCCTAAGCTGAAGATGTCCACCCTGTCGGCATAGAATATGCTGTAAGACATGTAAGTTTAACACTAAATTGTCTATAAAAACCAGAGTCAGCTAGTTGGAACCAACATGCTAACTGAAGGTCAAAATGTCCACCCTGTCGTTGTACCAAAATATCCAACCTTTCAACTCTGAGTAGTCAACAGGTTTCATGGTCTGTTTGAAAGGATGTCCAAGAGTTCTTACAGTAATGTTCAGAATTTAAGCTAGCCCCCCAAATGAAAACCAGTATGTTTCTTAAATCAGCCTGTCGTGAAAATGTCCAGCCCGTCGTTGTGTTTTTCAAGTTTTATGAAAATAAATAATCTATTTTTACAAGTTAGAAAAATAAGTTTTTGTTGGATTTCTATATAAACAAATGAGGACTTTATTTGTCGACATTTTGACCAGATAGTATTAGTTGCTGGATTTTATTTAGAAAAGTAAGTTAAACTTTTGCATATTTTAAAGAAAAACAAATGTTTTGCACTAAATTCATTATTACCAAAACACTTTTCCTATTATTTAACATCAATTGTTAAGAAAGGGATAACATATCTTTCTGAAAATGTCTCACTGTTTAATGAAAATGTATAATCTGTCCATGACAGGTTGGACATATTTTGGAAGTGCTCCTATATTGTCTGCTTACAGTTCATTAATGAAAAGCGCAGGAGCTTGGGAAACATGCATTTCTAACAGCCTGATATCTACATAATACAATGATTATGAAGTTAAAGGGAACATCTTCACAAATAATGAAGTCTCAAAGGCACCATACAGCGACAATGACCAACTGAGGTTTCATAATTTTGTTTAAATATTTAAATGTGTATACTTCTGAAAACTTAAACTCCACCATGCATGTTACAGGTATGAATATTCAAATGTCTTTCTACTGCTCAAATTGTATATGACAGATAACGATTTTAATTACAAAATATTATGCATTTTAGAGAAAAAATTATTGCACAACATCTTTAAAATGTTACATGTTATGTTACCCTATGTCAGGGGTGCCCAACCTTTTTTTAACCGAGAGCTACTTTTAAAGTTAGCCGAGATCTACCAGTCCAAATAGAGAGGCGTAGCCATTACTGACAGCCTACTACCAGGTAAATACACACTTCTACTTGTATAAAACTGACCTTTGTACGATTAATACTTCATAAAATACTGCAGATCCTTTATCTTACCTCTTTCTAATCTACACACATACAAGTATTTAAATGAAGTTACACAACAGTGTTGTTGATACAGAGTTAGAGTTTATTCACACGTCACTACAATGGTCATGTTTTCAAGAAACATTGAACAGTGCTGCCACATATGACACAGGGAAAAAGAAAAGACTCTGAACCCTTTCTTTGCCATTATATAAAAATAGTGTGGCTACAAAAGTATAAATTAAGCTTACTAATAAGACAACTCAGATCTGAAGCTACACAGGAATCTGCTGCCAAAGTGCAATACAAAAGAAAAAATTAATAGAATCAAACCCTTTTTTGTTGCATTTTAGTAGAGTATAAAAATAAATGCCTTTAAAATAGGATGCAAGCAACACTAGCTTCTTAACCTGAATTGATAATAGACTATAATCAATTTAAGTTTGAATTCTTATACCATGTTGTACAATATAATTATAATGAATAAGTTCAAACAGCTTACAGCTGATTAATAACGGTATCTAACTTGAGTTTTTATTATATCAAAAACCTGTTGAAATGCTTCTGTTATTTTTACTGTCCCCAAAAAGCGCGTCGCAGCCTCCAGGAATGCTTCTTTCACAACTTCGCCGTCTTTGAAAGACTTCATGTGTTTCTCAAGGACGTGACTGACACGATAAGATGCTATGGTAGCAGCCTTGCTCTTGTTGTTGGGCCTGGTGAAAATGGACTGCTGTGCATTTAGCTGTCCTTTCAGGCCCCTCCCCTTTTGGAGCGTAGGGCAGAATTAGGAGGGTAGCGTTTGCACTGTTTTGAAATGCCGCTCCTAAATGACCCTTCTTCGATAAAGCCACGCTCGCATCGCAGATGAGACAGATGGACTTTGAATTGGAATAGATACAAAAATAATCATCCTCCCACTCGGAGTGAAAATTATATATTTTGGGCTTTTTTGCTTCTGCCATAATTGCGGTCTTGTGTGTGTGCCGACTGTCACTCCTGTTGACACGGACAACGTTAGCGAAATAGTGCACTGCCCACCAGCCACGCCCCGACACATGGGGTGAGGCCGGCCAATCACAAAGCTTTGATGCGTTCAAATGCATTATTCTAGCAAAGGAAGATTATATAGGACGTTAACGATAAAACAGAATATTGTTGTTCTATTTTTAGACACATCTGGTGATCGACTGGGAATCTCCCCGCGATCGACCGGTCGATCGCGATCGACTGGTTGGGCACCCCTGCCCTATGTCTCTATTTATATCTATCCGCTTTTACATATATATATAAATACTCAAGTGTAGTGGAACTTTAAAAAAGTTTTCACTGTAGTTCCACCAAAAAAACATTTCCCCAGAAAACTTCTCAGACATTTTTATTTAAGTAATTGCTTTTGGTTTTGATACTCTAATTACATTTGGCTTATAACACTTGTGTAGGATTTTAATGCAAAAAATATTAACTTTTTTTGCAAAGATGTATTGGTACTATTACCAACTCTAATTAAAGGATTTTTGTGTCACAGAATTGATCACAGTCGAAACATGGAGCTACGAGTAGCACTTGAATACGGCGTACCGTGACGTCACGTCCTGGGAGCATCATCATCTCGGCGATACCACACACGAGCCAGCAGGGGGCGCCGCTGGACAGGCCTGATGTGCAGGTAGGATGTTCAATGTCTTTGTCGAATGTCCCCAACAAAAACGGTTTTATTAAGTGAGCACAAAGAAATATATGTTATATTTCATTTTATTATAAGATTATTATTTACTTATTGTTATTTTACTTATTACTAGTTGTAATAAAATACCCATTTTACTAATAATGACTATTATTTCTAATATTAACATTACTATTACTACTATAACATTACACTCCTAATACTTTATCTTACCTCATAATATCATGTACAATGTTAATATGCTATGCGATCTTGCCACATCATTTTATTATATTTCTATGTTATATTTCTACTTTGCTTAAACAGACAGCCCCTAACATCGTTATTTAATCCTATTATTTTATCTTATCTTTTCTAAAACACAGACATATGCAAGTACAGTATACGTTTTAAAGAAAAAAATGTTTTACTCCTGCATTAAGGTTTCTTTTAATCGCGACATTTACTGTAAGTGAGCAGGAAGATGTTCTGTTCTGTGATTGGTGTGTGAGTGAAACATCTGAGGGCAGTCCATGATAGAGAGTGACAGTTGCCATGGCAGCTCATTAATCACTCAATGTGACCAATCAACTGAAGCAACAAGACAACATTAGGGTGATTAGTGGCATGGATGTGATGTTTATGTTTGCAAGAACCATGTGATACTGAACTTAAACCATGACCTAGCTCTAAGTCTAAATACAGAATATAGTTTTTATAATAACAATAGCAAAAAAAGATAATCATTTGTAATGCATGTTTCAAGAATCATAATATTAAGCACTTCGCATGAGGGGAAATTGACCATAATTGTTATTTAAAGGTCCCATGACATGGCCATCTCTACTGATCATAATTCCATTGTTGGGGTATAGATTTACATTGTTCAATGTTCCAAAATCACATTGGTTTCTCATACAGCATCTCTGTAAAGTATACATGTGTATTCACTCTCTGTCCTACACACCTTGTTGGAGCTCCTTTCTGCAGTTTGGTGCTGAGCAGGTAGTATAAAGAAAATGTTTACAGCTCTTTATATAAACACAGTAGCCTGCTATAGCCAAATAATGACACTATGAGACTGGTGATGGCCTAACCACTAAACAATTAGCTAAAACTCACAATAGAGCTCTGTTAAAAGTAAAACAGACGGGAGCTTCAGATATTTCTCTGTAGGATCATACTATGAGTCACTGTTGTAAAGTGTTCTTACTTTGTCATTTGATGTGTTGTTATTATTATAAAATATAAATTAAAGCTGCTTTAAGTTCATGTTAAAAGACCCAATCTGATAAGTCCTTGGGGATATTATGGAAATACAGAGTAATACAAGGCATGACGTTATTTAATAATATAAAATATACATATATTCTTTTATTCTACCTTACCACCTGCTTTACAAACAAAAGTGGGTGTCATATTTAAGCTCGTTTTTTTAATCCTCACCAAAATGTCATCTGTAAAGCAACGCTCTTTCCATCAACAATGGGCCAAATGACTTTGTGTAATGTGGCAAAGAAGCTCCTTATAGTGACGAACCCAGATCATTTTCACTGAAAGCTCTATGAAGTGTTTTCAGCAGCTTTCCGCTCATACTTCAGGTTTTTTTATTGCTCACAACAACTTAAATGTTTTGCCTAACCGTAGCAGATAAAGAGCCAGATTATTTCCCCAAGAGTTAAAGCAACCAAACCAGCGCGAAAAAAAGGAGCCAATATCAGACTTACCTCTGTCAGGTGTGAAGAAACACATCTGTGTGTGTGTGTGTGTGTGTGTGTGTGTGTGTGTGTGTGTGTGTGTGTGTGTGTGTGTGGTGTGTGGTGTGTGTGTGTGTGTGTGTGTGTGTGTGTGTGTAGTGGTGTGTGTGTGTGATGTGTGTGTGTTGTGTGTGTGTGTGTGTGTGTGGTGTGATGTGTAGTGTGTAGTGTGGTGTGTGGTGTGTGATGTGTCGTGGTGTGTGTGTAGGTGTGTGTGTGTGTGTGTGTGTGTGTGTGTGTGTGGTGTGTGGTGTGTGTGTGTGTGTGGGTGATGTGTGTGTGTGTGTGTGTGTGCTGTGTGTGTGTGTTGTGTGTGTGTTGTGTGTGTTGTGTGTGTGTAGTGTGGTGTGTGTGTGTGTGTTGTGTGTGTGTGTGTGTGTGTGTGTGTGTGTGTGTGTGTGTGTGTGTGTGTGTGTGTGTGTGTGTGTGTGTGTGTGTGTGTGTGTGTGTGTGTGTGTGTGTGTATGCATGTGGGTGAATTCCACCCCCCTCTTCGTCTGTTTCGTTTAGAAAACACCTCTTCTTTCCACACACACACACACACACACACACATTCTCTCTTGCTCTCTCTTTTCCCTCTCTCTCTCTCTCTCTCTTTTCCTCTCTCTCTCTCTTTTCCTCTTATCCGGCGCAAGAGCCCGGCAGCGGGGGTGACGCGTTTTGCGCATTTCCTGCAGCTCGCGCTCACTCACGGATTCATGAGAGAGAGGCGACGGGAAACAGGGGGCGCGCGCAGGCACTGAAGAGAGGAAAAAACGAACGCGAGCAGAGCACCGTGATGTATTTGGGGTGCTCGTGAGCCCGACAAAATACTGCATTGAGGGGGCAATAAGGCATTGTTTTCCGAGAGTACGCGCAAATATCGCGGTACCGTCAGGTCGAAGCAAGAAGATTATCCCAGAGAAGAGCGAGCGAGGGGCTGGAGGACGGAGCACCAATCCCGGATGGCTAGGCGCGGCTGCTCGCGCTCTCTCCCACCCTGACCCGGGAGAGACACACGGACTCGGGGGCTTCACGTGAACCCAACCGGAGCTCGTTAACCCGCATTCGCCCTTTCTGTCGTTTTATATATCGGCCTGTTTCCGCTGTGAATGTTGTGTGGCGCACGGGACCGACCATAAACAAACAAGGCAGCTGCTCGGGTGGGAGAGTGTTCAGCAAGCGACCTCTGAAGGGTGTGTGTCTGCGTTGTTACTGCGTTATTCAGCCCATTAGAGATCAGCTGGACTGTAAGTGTTTGTGTGTGGATAAAACAGGTCTGGGATGTGGCTGTACTAGAGAGTCCAAGGAACCAGCGGCATTATGGGATGTAGCAGGACTGTGCAGTGACCCCGCTTATTGGAAGGAAACACTCTGTGTACAGGAACAGGCACACTAGCCTGAACACACGCACACGCATCCTCTTATATATATATATATATATATATATATACTACGCATACACACATCCCAGCAGCCATGCCTGTCTTCAGTGGCCTGTTGAAGGTGCGAGTGTGTGAGGCAGTGGATCTGAAGCCCACACCTTGGGCCCTGCGTCACGCTGTGGGGAAGAGCGGCTCCTTCCTGCTGGATCCTTACCTGGCCCTGAATCTGGACCATACCCGGCTGGGCCAGACCGCCACTAGGACCAAGACCAACAGCCCCGCCTGGCACCAGGAGTTCTGCACTGAGGTCCGTGAGGGAAGGAGTCTGGAGCTGTCTGTCTTCCATGATGCACCCATCGGATATGATGACTTTGTGGCCAATTGCACCATCCAGTTGGAAGACCTGCTGCAGAACGGGACTAGGCACTACGAGGACTGGGTATGTGTTAGATGTTTGACTCAGTTACCCACACAGCATTGCTGAAGTAGTCTTCAGGGTCCCGAAAGCCACAGGTTTGCATGTAGGTAAATGTGTGCTTGTTTAGGTGAAACCAAATTTGATAACTGCCTATCAGTCGTTTGGTCCTAGTCGATTCTATTTCTTTAAACAATTAATCATTTCCTAATGCATTTTTCATGCTGAATTATTTATTTCAAAACACTTATTAGCACATCTCTGGTGAACACAATAATTAACATGTTGCTTTGGTATGTTCATTTGTGGTGAACCTCAAGTATACTCATCTGACGTTTGAATCATTTAATTTGGCTACATAATCATATGAGTAGAAGTCGATCGGAATTTCTTTAGGCAAGGACACCCCTAACAGACCCCAGACCCTCAACCTACAGGAGCCGCAGTTTGAAAAACCTTCATATTCTCTGAAACATGAATTATTTTGTTTGCATTGCACTTGTGATGTGGTGCTTGTGGTTACTTGAAGGCATCGGGCAGAAAATGCAAACTGTAGGCTACAGTTTGCCGTGTGGCCCTTTCGCCACAGGATTCACACGTTTTCATCAGCCAAGTTCTATAACCTATTCATCCAGTAAATTGTCTACTTTGTTCATTTGCTGCTTCACAAAACACATTCATCTACACACACCCCACCAGAGCCTCCTAGAATAACTACTCCAGGCCAGTGAGCACCTTTGGGGGGGGGGGGGGGCTGCTGCACTGATGCACTGATCTAACTTTTGTCTTTTCCGGTAAATATACTGATCCTTCATCTCAGGTCTACATCTCGATCAAAGATACCATTACTTTTTTTTTACCCAAATGTAGGGTAGGACAGATACTCCACTGCATGGAACTAATAATAATACTAATAAACAAATCATCTGTTGATTATTTGAAAGATTCATTGATTATTTATCTGGTGTGTCAAATGTCAACAGAATAGTGAACATTCTGGTTTCTCAGAAGGTGATGTCTTCAATTGACATGTTTTGAAAGTAACAAACCTCCAAATAATATTTGAACATATTACATACATAAAAGCAGCATTTCCTGCCATTATTGCATGACAATTACCTTTTGGATTAAACAATAATAAAAAGAGTTGTCAACACTGATCGTTTGGTTGACTTATCGTTGCCGCTCTTCAGGTCAGGCCATCAAGTCATAGAAACGGCTCACATTACCTTTAATCAAAGATGTTCTCTAACTCTCTTACATCTTTGTCGGATTTCTCTTGGCACTTTCTTTGGCAGCAGCAGTGTGTTCTTAGACAAAGTCATAGTCCAATTTTTCCTCTGCGGAGCTATGGCGGAGTTACTTTGGGTTTACATTACTTATAATTTGCAGCTCGCTCTCTAGAGGGGGAAATTATTTTTGAATCATTACGGTTTCTTGTCAGTTATCTCGTTTGCATCGGGGACTGTGATGTTGAACTGCCACATGTAGATCTGTATGTAAGGGAGATAAAGAGCTGTTTGTTTGGGGTCTGCCAGATTTGTTTCCAGTTAAACATGTGATCTTGTTCCACTTCTACACTTTGTTTTTATCTCGTCTCGCTTTCGGTTAGATGAAAGGCTGATGAAGGACAAGCATTCTGGGAGCTGAGTTCACACAATTTAAACAACTGAATTTGTTGTTTTGCTTTTAGCTCAATACCTACAAAATACATACACAACTATTTTCACCAAAGTTAGTTGTTCCTTTTTTCAGGCAGCCAATTTGTTGTATATATATAATAGTGTTTGTATAGCTGTACTTATTACAGATCTGCATTATTGCTATTTATTTTTGTCAAAATTGAATGTTTTCAGCACATTTTTTGTTGAAAAGTCTTAGTTTTGTTTTCTCAGCTAAATAACCATGACGTAATTTGAATCATCAATTTCACATTTGATTCCTTGGGTAGCATATTTACATTCTGCAATACTGTGTAAAGTTAATACGCTATTATAATGAATAAGTATAGACAATATGGATCATTAGGAGGGGTTACATTGATTTCAAGTTATGTAATGCTTCACTCTATTGGTATACATTGGCATATAAATAGACGCACACATACACGCACACTCTCTCTCCGCCATCAGAGTAAGGTCAGAGCATATGGATCACTCTGGTGATTGACCACATCCCATTAATCAGCTGCCGGCTCGCCAATACATCTGCCTCACAGCGACACAGCCCCTCCCACATCCCCTGTGTCCTCCCTTCATTACTCCATTACTTCTGTTCCTCATCCTCCCCTCTCAAACAGAGATTCCCCTCTCATCGTCCTTTCACCCCCCTCTTCCTGTTTCATCGGCTCCCTCCTGATGATCCTAATGCCATTCACTCTTCGGTACTCTCCGGGGACAGATGTTAAGTTAAGACTCAACTGAAAAACGGTGACAAAAGGTATTCGGTTGTCTGAGTCGTATAGTTTTTCTCCTAATTATTTTAAATATTTGTCAAAATAAGATTTGAAGATAAAAAGAGACTATTGCTGGCATCGAAACATGTTAAGCTTTTACCACCCAGTGTCCCTCTCACGGGACTTTAGGGCTATGTACACCAACATACATAAGTTGCATGTATATGAAATGTATGAATCGATCAGTAAGAGTCTTACTAGTTATTAGGGTCATTTTCAAAATGAAAGACCTGTTGTATAAATAATCCAGGTAATGTGTATAGTCATGAATAGACACATACCATTAATTGAATGTGACCTAACAAATGTACAAAATAAATACAACGAATAGTATACAAATATTATTATACATTGTAATACTAAAATACAATTATATAAATATGTATGAAATGTATACAAAAAATATGAAGAAAAAATATATACACACAAACACACTAGAACTAAGAAAGGAATGTGGTCCGTATTGCACCAAATGTATTATTAGAGTGATTTTTGAAAAATAGAATACAATTCCTCAGTATGATGCCATAAACTCATATTAGATAACACACTTCCTGCCTTTTAAGATGAACACCGTAGCTTGTGTGCCTCAGCTCCATCTTTCTCACTTCCTCTGCCCTTCTGCTGCTTCACTCATCTGAGCCTCCCTCTCGTCTCAGCACTCTGCTTCCTGCTCTCTTTTGTCTTCCACCACATCTCCATGATACATCTCCTGTGGACCCGAGCGCTGTGGGCCAGGCTGCCGCCCTGTGCCGCCGGTGAAATATTAACCAGGCTTTGGTGCTTATTAATTGTCCCATTCAGTAATTGAGATGCTCTGTGGAGCCCATCCCCATGGCGACAATGACAGCCCGTCCCCTTGGTGACAGCCTCTCACCCACAGAAACACTAGCGAAAGCGAGATGGGTAGGTGAGAGTTGGGGGAGATGGGCAGGGGTAAGAAAAGGGAAAACGGAGTAGAAAAGTGCTTTGTTTTTTGAGAAAGCAGACTTTTAAAAAACAAATCATGGCATTTAAAGTTGGATTCTTTGTGCTGCATGTAGTGCTGGGCTTTATGGCTTAAACGTAATATCTAGATATTTTAAGGCCATATTGCAATACACAATATTTTTCGTGATATTTTGAAATCCCTTTCCATACCTTTCACACCGGTAAATGGACTTTTTTTTAATAACTCTAGAGCTTGTCACGATGCCCAGGTCTAACCCCAGCACTAATGTGTGTCTATATTAAATATAGGGATTATAGAATAGTTACCATTATACTGGAATTATTTACCTCTTACAATATCAAAACTTTACTTTCACATCTTTTCATTATCCAAACGTTTCCATGATTTTCAAAGTGGCATTTTCAAATACCATTTCATTCAAATCTAGCTACTAAATAAAAAATAACTACATTGTATGTCACTCAATACACATTATTCTGCACCATTGTGGCCAAAATTATCATTATTAGTATGTTGATCATGATTATTACAATTATTTATTAATGTAAGTGACAGAACAATTGTATTGCTCTTTCACATTGAAATGAACAGAGCACTGCTTTCACTTCCATGTGGGGCTACAACCCCTCTAGCCCTCACACAGCACACCTTCTATGTAAGTTATGACTTTAATCCACACACTAGCTGTAGTATGTACTCCACCTTTCGTAAAAAGCACATTGACTTCACTTGTAGTGAAATGTTTTATATATATAAGATTGCCTTTCATCAGCTAGGCTAGAGGTGAGCCGCATACCGCTGTAAACAAAACCAAGCGTGTGCATTCCTGAGGTAACTATGGTATGGCTGTGGCAGAGAGATGCAAAGGATGATTACACTATTATGGATTTTACTTTTCATTTCTAAACAAGCTGTTTAGATAAAAAGGTTATATATGGCCGCTGTCACACACAAGCTTACGTTCACAATGCAGCCAATTACTTAAATGTGGTATTATGACCAAATGGGATGTGAACTATTGTGTGTTAAATAAATCTATATATATATAGCATGAAAAATCCACAATTAAGTTATCTTGGCAAACATTTTTTTTAATAGTTTTTCATAGGATATGATCTTAAAAATGAGGGGAAGTGAAATTATATTTGATATAAAATTAAAGCATGACATCTTTGGGACAGAACTGTTATTAGGTTTGTTGCTCCTACTCTTAAAACGTTTACATTATTGTTGTTTTAATGTTCTGTTAGCAACTGAATCATCTCCACAATGTGGACCAAATTCTATTCGAAAATCTTCACAACCATACACCATGATACAAGAGTAAGTATCCCTCTTCCCATATCATCTGCTGTTTATTCTAATATGTGCATCTGAGTAATACAAATATAATGCTGGTATGTCTTATATACAAGACATACTTGTTGCTATCTACTATCAAGATTTCCCAGAGATACATTTGAATGTGTTAAATAGCAGGATAAAAACATTTTGAAAGCTTGTTAGCTATTTATTATCTAGTCATTCACTTTTATTGTTGTGATAACACAAAGTAGACAATTATTTATCTACAATTATGATTTTTCACAGAAACATTACGTTTCTCCAGCATTGTAG